CACCTGCAGTCCAACAACAAAAAGGATGTGTAAAATTAGTTATTTAACACCGGGGTAATGAGAGCTGTTCCGTGTTATAAATAATTTCACAAGCAACGAGTAGGGCAAAGTACTAATAATAAACCATTAACATCTGTTGCTTCGATTTATAAAAAGAATTTAGTGGGATTAAAAAAGCCCTAGAACCTTGACAAAAAAACCTATTCCGAACATCAAAAATTTGACTAATAGATATTCAAAGCAAAGCTATGAATGTGCAAATATAAATTTAAAAAAATATAAGTTTACAATAACAAACTTCAAATCGATGCAAGAAAAGCTTACATCAGTGTCCCATCAAGCTCCTTTTTGAGAAGAAACCGTTCTGTATAAAGCGAATTCATTGATAGTCGCAACTTCAATAGATTTTGGTGAAGTTCAGCAGCTTTTAGAATTGGTGCCGTTGTTTCTGACGCAAAGCGATGTTTTTGATGGGCAGAAGTTGGATTATCACAAGGAGACAAGCGATCATTTGTAATAAAAATGGAGTCCTTAAGTAAACAAAACTGCAGTTATATACCTTGATGCGATGCAAAGTTACTATAATTCGGCAAAAAATTACACTGTATGACCGTGTGTGCGGGTCCTTTTTCGACGAAATGGTGAAATGTTTTGACATAGGTGGCGCTTTCAACTCCACCGACGTTCTGAATAGATAAAAAACATTCCAAGTATGTAATAAAAGACTAAAGTATGCTACATACAGGCTTAAAGCATAAAAGTCTTGACGAAAGGTAAGCATAGTGGAGATAAAAATTGAGAAATGAAACGTAACGTACTTAGCATTTACGGTGCCATCTAAAAGCAACGTCATTTTCAATGACGGAATATCAAGGCAAAGGCTTTAAAGAAACAAGTTCTAACAGAAACTAGTGTCTTGACGCTCACAATGATAATATACAAGCAATATTAATGCATTATGCGCTACCAGTTGTAAATGGTTAGATATTTGAAGAAAAACTACTCACCGTTACACTGGCGTTCACTTGTATCAGATGTAATGCTAGAAAAATAGGTAGAATCTGGAGAAACTGTTCCAGACCGATCTGCCTTATGGTTAAACTCAGCTTCATTCATTCCAAGGTAGGAAATTTCATCTGAGATCCTAACACTTTTACTGCACGAATTTTCATCAGACCCGTAAGATGGACTTTTAACGCCATCTGTAGGGGAGTAATCAAGAGCACTTTTTTTACGATGCTTGAGCATCACCAGTCTAGGCGCATACTACTTCCACTCCTACAATTTGCCGCCACATCACAGGTTATTTATCGGGATACCAATTTATGCACTAAAAAAATCAAGGTCACTATAGTTTAAAGACCAATAGCAGCCTTAACGTCATGCACTCTTTAGACTGTGGAAAGCACATCAAATTTGACTTGCAGAACAGGTGTCCTTCTTTAAATATTAGAACCTAGACAAATCTTCAGTTAAGCAAAAGTTTAATTGATACAGCATCATACGCTCCTTCTGAGAAATGTAATTTCACCATAAGATTTTGGTTAATTTTGCCACAATTGTGATGCGCATAATCGAGACATGCGCAATTGTGCAATTTATGTAAATTCTCTTAAACAGCATGATGAATTTTACTGTTTACAACAGGCCCCCTTTGCATATCACAAACTAAGTCAAGAATTTTGTTAGAACCACCCCTTGTGTAACTGCATGGTTTAAGCTAACGCTTCCCGAGTTTGTAGTGGTCGCTCTGTCGCTCTGCTAATATTGGAGACGGGGTTGATTTTCATCCCGCCGGTCTCGTCAAGCGTCAGTCTTCTTAAAGCTGTGGTTGCTTCATGATGGTTTTTGAAGTTAATTCGCCTTTTATTTTGTTTGTTTAGTTGTGAGCTGATGGCAGTCGCCAAATTTTCACCCTTAACCATCACAGTAAGAAGGCATAGAATGAGTTACAGTGTATAATTGCTTACTGACATCCAGTGATCGTCAGGTTTTTACTTTTTGCCTCCTTAACATCAAGATTCATGTGTGGAATTACTTATTTCTCTAGAACATTTTGTGATTTTTGGAACAACTGGTTCCCTTTAAGTGTAGTTCTCTTTTCTCGCATTCCATCCACTGCCACGCCTTGCTGCCTGTTCACTGCCTATTGCGGTATCGTGGCCGATTTGAGGATTGTTAATTTAGCGACTTGACGTGCAATAACGTTTTAACACTTGGCATAATTGAGCTTTTTGTCATTCTTCGACATTTTGTGGTGGCACTTTTTATATTTCATTCTCTTAATGCTTTACTGCGTGTTGAGGCACGGTCGAAGTAGTTCGTAGGTGGGTTGAGAATAGTCACTTTCCTATTGTGGGCATATTTACTTCATAAACTCTGCTTTCAGCAACTTTGTTTTCCGCGTTTTCTATTGTAGGCCTTAATCCTTTTTGACGACAGCATTTGCTATGTCTTCTTACGGTAGCCGAGTGCACAAGATAGCTAGCATTTTCCGAAGGTAGGTACCTCGTCGTCTCTTCGCAGTGTTCCATATCTTAACAGGGTTACTGGCTTACTGGAAAACGGAGCGATGGAGGCAAAGGATAGGCCACTGTGGTACGACGTTTATAAGGCTTTCCCACCTAGAGTGGAACCCACTATGGAGAGATCACTACCAGCTGATCTCCACACTCGGGAGATACTCTATGCAGAGGATGTGGGACGAGTGTGAGTCATCTCTTCTTCCATAATCGGTTTCAAGAAGCAAGATAAGTACTTTTTTTTAGCTTGGAGGAGGTTTTGGTCATTCAGCTGATCCCCTACGTGATATATTACGGATTTAGTCACTCGTCCTAAACACTTTTCTTCCCAGTTGTTAGTTTTGTCACCATTTTGATGCATTCCAGACGATCATTTCGGTTACTCTCATTTTATTATTATTGAAGAAGTCCGAATTTTGCAGGTCACTCATTGTTCATGGCCCACTTACCAGGATCACAAATATCCCTTCCTGCGAGCGTAGATCCTTTACTGTAGGACTCAACTTTAGAGCTGATAATTAAGCTTTTGACTTTTAGACGCAATATTTGGTGGAAGAAAAGCTAGATGGTTGATTATCACAAAAGTGCCAAAAATGCCACCTTTTTAATATCCCAATTACCACCGAGGTCAATACGTGGCGATGTATTTTCGTGCATTTGCTGACTAAAAATGCTTATACGTTTTAAATTACTCTTAACAATGACCTGCTGCAGCTTTTGTTATATGCCCTCACATGCTTTACGAAGTATGAGTTAACGATCTCTTGGTTTTATTCACTTCATCTGACAACGATTGAACTAGATGTCAAGGCTGCCTACTTTACGATCCGAGTATAGTGCAGTTGTAGAGTAGCAGAAGTCAAACTCTTCTTCAACTTTAAAAGTGCGGGTTTGTGGTTTTACACATCCTGATTTGTAAAAGCTATATGGAGATTCTCCCTATTTAATGACGCCCTCTGAACCCGTCGGATCAGTACAAGCTTATTGCCAAAAAAATAATGAATATGGTTCAGCTCTCCTGAGCCTTTAACAAAACATTACTGCCGAAATCATTGAGTGTCCTTACAATTGGAACAGTGATGCTCTAGCTGAACAATACCTGTGCTTAATTTCAGCAGCATTTGCAACCTAATTCCAACTGTGGTGTCTTTTGGTCTGTAGAGCCTTCCTTCAGAAGTATGAGGATGCTGATGAAGATCTTCACAATCTCTTTGCACCAAGCGATAAAGGCACTTGCATGGCCAAGTACGTTTCTTTTATTCTTCTCCTGAAAGCCTAGTCTAGAAACTTTTATAAATTCGGTGATTGAGTAACAAAGTCTCCAAATTTTGTTCTTGCAAACTTCACTGTCAGCCAACAGAGATATCGGCGCCAAAATATGGCTTCTTTAATGTCTAAGCCATTTACCGTTTTGAATACTTAATTTCCTTATCAAAAATAATTCCGTTTCCTTTGTAAAATTCGAAATTGACTTCCATTTCTATCGCTCCTCAGATTCATCACAAAAGCACGGGCATTGGGCGCGGATGCTGATCATACTCTGTGGACAGACGAGGCTTTCCTTGAGAAGGTTCGGGAGGCTCTTCAAAGGGATGGTCTTGTCTTGCGTGTCAAGAGGAAAAAACCTTCCTGAAACTACTCGCCTCTCCTTTTCTTTTATAATGTCTCTATAAACAAATACATCTGCTTGACAATGTTTTGATCTATGTAGTCGCCCTAGTGACACTTAAGAAAGCTATGCATGCATCTCACCCATATCGAGCGAAGACTTGTCGTTTTGTATTTGCTTGGTTATCCCACAACCTAGGACTTCGTATTTTTGGGTTCCGGTTCGGCCTATCCATCACCCCACAGAGCAGCCTCAGGTCTAATTCTGCGACACACCAACGGCACCCAGTGGCTTTTCGATTGCAGTGAAGGTACGCAGGTACAATTGCAGAGTTGCGCAGCTGTCCGAGCGCAAAGAATTTCGCGGATCTTCATAACTCATCTTCATGGGGATCATATCTTCGGATTGCCGGGTCTTTTGGCCACTATTTCAGGAATGCGGGAGCATGCAGTGGATCCGAGGTGGGTTCTAACAATGGAGTCGAGGGAGGATTCAAGTCCACCGGATTTGGAAATTTATGGGCCTTGTGGATTAAGACGATTCTTGAGAATTACGACTGCAATCTCTTGGTGAGTTTTTCACATTTAAACCGCCTCTTTCCTGATGTGATGCAAAAGTGGGAAGGTTCATGGGTGCCTTCACAACATTTGTGCCTCTTTTTGAAGGTCTCTACTGCGAATGACTTATGTTGTACATGAACTGCATCCTCGACCCGACCAGGTAGCCAATTGTTTTCCCTACTGGACTGCCACTGATTCCGATCCTGTGCGAGACAGGATGCTGCCCTTTGAAAGGACAGGCAGGGATATTCACCCTGACCCTGATGGTCAGTGATCATCCTTT